ACATGCAAGCATAGTGAGGACATGTTGCATTGAAGAAAAATAGTCAGGGAGAACTTAACACATTCTGGAAGGTCCTGAAAATGTAATGTTTAAACTGACATTTGAAGAATGAGAAGCAATTAGTTGGGGAAGAGACCTCCAGGTGAAAGGAATTGCAAAGGCCTTTGGAATTTGACTCATTTTGGAATTTGGAACTAAGGGAAAGCTAAGGGTAGTTCCCCAGGGACTAGATCATATAAGGCAGGCTGGGAAGGATGAAACTCTTTCTTAAGAGAAACAGGAAATTGCTGGAGAGTTTGATGCAAAAATTTGTGTTTCCATAGCGCTGGGGTGGGGAGGGCAGAGGCAGAGGCAGTTATCAAGACACTCAGGGGTCTCTGTGTGGTCTCAGAGGGCAGAGCAATGGAGAGAATCTAAGGTCCCCTTCCATATATCTTTTATCTTGATGTTTAATTTACATAAAATACACAGGTCTTAAGTGCACAGTTCAAATTTTCACTTATGTACTGTACCCACCCCCCCAATCAAGATATAAATACTTTAGCAGGCCCTGCCTCCTCCAAATATAACTACTAATCTCCAACATCAAGGTTAGTTTTGCCTGTTTTTGAGTTTCATGTAGATGTAATCATACAGTATATACTCTTCTGTGTCTGGTTTCTTTCACTTATCATGATGTCTGTGAGATTTATTAATGTCGTGTAGAGCAAGTTTTTTTTTTTTTTTTTCACTGTATTCCATTGATAAATATACCACTATTTATTCATTCTACTGTTGTTGGACATTTATTTCCAGGTTTTGGCTATTATGACTTACACTATGTGCATTCTTACATGTCTTTTTGTGGACATAAGCCAATCACTTCCACTGAGTACGTACCCAACAGTGAAACTGCCGGGTCATAAATATACATATTTAGCTTTAGTAGATCCTGCCCATTAGTTTTCCAAAATGGTTAAACTGATTTATACTCCTACCATTAAAGTGTGGAATGCTCAGTTCATCCATGTCCTCACCAACACTTCACATTATGGGCTTTTTTTTTTTTTGGCTGCACGGCTTGTGGGCTCTTAGTTCCTCAACCAGGGATCGAACCCGTGCCCCCTGCAGTGGAAGCATGGAGTCTTAACCACTGGACCGCCAGGGAAGTCCCAACATCATGGGTCTTTTATGGCATCTCATTGTGGTTTTTTTTTTTTTAGCGGCACCCGTCAGCTTGGGGATATTAGTTCCCCGACTAGGGATGGAACCCGGGCCCCAGCAGTAATAGTGCAGAGTCCTAACCACTGGACTGCCAGGGAATTCCCTCCTTGTGGTTTTAATTTGCATTTTTGGATGACAAAAGGTATTAAACACCTTTTCATATGTTTATTAGATATTTATTAGACAGAACTTATTGTCTGTTCAAGATTTTTAAAATTGAATTGTTGGTCCTTTAAAAAAAACTGATTTGTAATTCTTTATATATTCTGGATTATAAGCCCTTTGATGGCTAATATTCCATAATGCAAGTATCTTCTCCCAGGCTGTGGCTTCCATTTTCACTCTCTTGATATCTTTTGATAAAACAAATTTTTAGTCTTAATGAAGTCCAATTTCTCTTTCATGGTTATCACTTTTTTTTTCATGGTTATCACTTTTTGTGTCTTCTTTGCCTACTCCAAGGTCTTGCATATATGTCCTTATTTTTTCTCAGAAATGTTTTGTAGTTTTGTAGTTTCCAGTGTAGAGGTCTTGCACATCTTTCACTAGATTGCTAGGTATTTGATTTTTTGGCAGGGTACTATTATAAATGGTAATATTTTAACTTTTCATTTTCTAATTACTTGTGCATAGAAACAAGCAATTTTTGTAGCTGTTGATAATTCACCTATTAATTGCAGCAGTTTGTAGATAGGTTTGGATTTTATACATACCCCACATGTTAAAAATGATAGTTTTCTTTTTCCCAATCTTTATACCTTTATTTCTTTTTCATTCCTTATTGCACTAGCTAGGACAGCCAATACAATGCTGAATATAAGTGATGCTCATTGACACCAGTCACCAGAGGAGTGTTCAACATTTCACCATTACATGTAATGTACATTACATTACATGTACATTTTTTGTAAATGTCTTTTATTAGATTAGGAAGTTCTCATCTATTCCCAATTTCCTGAGTTTTTAAAATCTCTTTTTGAAAGGCTGAAGACTGTGTGCACACCCAGTTTGTTCATGGGGTGTGTAGAGAGGATCCAATGTGAAAAGATGTCAGCCTGCTCCATTAGGTACCCTGGGACTCATGCCAGCAATTTTTGGGATACTGCCAGCCTTTCCAACAACAGTCTCTGTGGCTCATCATTGCCAGGTCATCTGTAGCTGGCTGTTGCAGACATTACTTGCACCCACTAGTATTGGTTCTATACTTCCCTGCCTCCTTAAGTGAGAACAAGGGAAGTTTAAGTTGGGATAATGCAAAAATGAGCATGTCTGACAGTTCCTTTCTATTCCTGGGAAAAGAAAAAGCAGCTATCTTCTGACTGTGCTAGGAATAGACACCAGGACAGTGGCCTATCTCCGTTCAATGGAAGTCTGAAGACCGCAGGATGTCCAGATTTAAACCAAGTAGCAGCTGAAAGAAAAAAGTAAGCTGGTTTAGACACTAGGTATGTTTTGAGCATAAGTCATGACCTGGGATGATGAAAGCTGCAGAGAAAATCCATTGACAGTCTGGAAACCAGACATAGAGAGGCATCTGACCAGGAACACATCCAGGAAGAGGATATAAGAAGTATGGACAGGCTTGGCATTTCTTGCTTTGTCAAGAAGCCCTTTAGATACTTGCAGAGAATAGGCCTGAGGTTCTGATCATTCATAACTACAGATAAACCCAGTGCCAGGTTACAAGCAGCTCCAAGGCCTAGTCCCTGCGGGTGCTGAGCTGGATCTCCAGGCTGTCTGGAGCAGTAGCAGTGCTGGACACAAATTCACTGCTGCTGAACACCAGCTAGCCACAGAACCAGAGGTGCGCTGCTGCCCTGCTAGCTCACAGCCCTGCGACTTATTTTTACATCTGTGACTCAGAGGCCTAGACCAGGACTGAGGCCTTGGGGAGAGAGAAGCCCTGCTTAGGGGTTGGCTCTTGCGAGCAGCATGGGTCTGGCTGTTTGATGACACCATGATCACATCCATTTCAGACCATAGTTGCAGTGATACCATTTCCAGTAGGACACAATCTCTTGAGGCCTCCATATTAGATGCCTTCTCTAAGACATGTGATATAACCTGGCAGTCAGATTTGTATTCCCAAAAATTCATTCTGGCTACTGCATAGAAAATGAATTGGAAGAGTGTGGTATGGGTGGAGGGTGACCAACGAAGAGGTTATTACAATAGTATAGGCAAGAGTTGATGGTGCTGGACTTCCCTGGTGGCACAGTGGTTAAGAATCCGCCTGCCAATGCAGGGAACATGGGTTCAAGCCCTGGTCTGGGAAGATCCCACATGCCTCTGAGCAACTAAGCCCACGTGCCACAACTACTGAGCCTGCGCTCTAGAGCCTGTGTGCTACTACTGAAGCCCGCGCGCCTACAGCCCATGCTCCACAACAAGAGAAGCCACCGCAGTGAGAAGCCCCCGCACCGCAACGAAAAGTAGCCCCTGCTCGACACAACTAGAGAAAGCCCGCACACAGCAACAAAGACCCAACGCAGTGGGGAGGGTGGAGGGGTAAAAAAATAGGGTTGACGGTGCTTCACACTCGAGTAGAGGCAAATAGATTTCTGGTTCAAGACATTAAACCAGGGCTTCCCTGGTGGCGCAGTGGTTGAGAGTCCGCCTGCCTGCCGATGCAGGGGACACGGGTTCGTGCCCCGGTCTGGGAAGATTCCCACATGCCGTGGAGCGGCTGGGCCCGTGAGCCATGGCAGCTGAGCCTGCGCAACGGGAGAGGCCACAACAGTGAGAGGCCTGCATACCTCAAAAAAAAAAAAAAAGACAGTAAACCAACTACAAATGTTCACCTTTTCCTTTAAGACTACATTAAATTGTCAGTAAATGACTAAGATGGAATTTATAATATGAATAGAATTGGGCAGGGAGGAATCTGTGAGGTATTTTTTCAACCAATTTCTAGACTGATTAGAGCAGATGAAATAAGTACCGTGACACAGGGCAGAACAGAGGGTGCTGCCGCCTGGACCACGCCCGGGGTGCTATTGTATAGGAGGAGCCACTTGCCCGAAACTCTGAAATGCTTCAGACTCTGAAGCAGGAGGTACGACAGAGGGCAAGCGCGAGAAGGGGGCTTGAAAACAGGAAAACGAATCTAAGGTCTGTCTGCACCGCAAGCAGTGAACAATCTTGTTTCTCACTGCAGTTAGAATGACCTATAATTATACAACACACTCCTAGGAAAAACAAACAAGTACAAGGAAGACTCTTTCCTGCAGGTACAGTGTTTCTGTGGATCTGGAAACATTGGCACCTCGGAACAAGCCCTCAGAGACCTCAAAGATAAAGATCACAACTTAGAGCATTTGTCAGATGACAAATCCTGGCCACACCGAGAGCTCCAGGGCAACTCTTCTGCTTCCTTCCAATAAGAGATAACCAAGAATTGTCAGATATTTGAATAAAGTCTACTACAGGAAGTCTACTACCAAGATTAACAACCTTGGTTAAAAAAACTAAGAAACACAAAGCTTCGATTCGACAGCTTTTTTTTTTTTTAACCTTATTTATTAAAAAAAAATTTTCTGGCTGCACTGTGAGGCATGCAGGATCTTAGTTCCCTGACGAGGGATCGAACCCGTGCCCCCTGCAGTGGAAGCGCAGAGTCTTAACCACTGGACCACCAGACAAGTCCTTCTCAATTGGACAGCTTTAACATTTGAGTAAGAGGGAGATCTAGTGAAAGAACAGGGTGGGTAACATCACAGAAATTATCTAAGAAGTAATAAGAGAAAGAGCTGAAGGAAAGATATGAATCTTTAAGTCAAAAGGGTCTACATGGGAGCTCCCTGGTGGTCCAGTGGCTAGGATTCAGCGATTTCACTGCTGTGGCCCAGGTTCAATTCCTGGTCAGGGAACTCCCACAAGCCATGCCGCACTCCTCCCCCCACCCCCCCAAAAAGAGGAAAAAACACGTCATCTATCATGGGAAAAAAATCAAATTGACATCGGACTTGGCACCACTGCATGTAAGATGAACAGTCAGCAATTGAGCTAAGAATGATTTTTATATTTTTAGAAGGTTGTTAAATAAAAAAAAAAAGAGGAAGATGTGACAGAGAACTTACTATCTGGCCCTGTATACTTTTTAAGAAAGCTCCCTAAGTAAGAATCCTAACAAGAAAATGGAAAACATGGCATCCAGGAAACTGTGACTCTAACCCAGGAGAGCAATGAAGAGAAATCCCAGGATCTTAGGTTTCCTGAAGATCTCGAAAGCAAAATGTTTGTATAACCTTTCGCAGAATGGTGAAAGTATATAGTGCAATAGTCTCTAGGAAAAAAAGAGACTTCATAGACTAAATCAAATGATAGTTAACGCGCTTCCCTGGTGGCGCAGTGGTTGAGAGTCCGTCTACCGATGGAAGGGACTCGGGTTCGTACCCCGGTCTGGGAAGATCCCACATGCCGCGGGGCGCCTGGGCCCGTGAACCATGGCCGCTGAGCCTGCGCGTCCGGAGCCTGTGCTCCGCAACGGGAGAGGCCACAACAG